ATGGGGTACTCTAGTGACAGTATTTCTGATGCTCTTGCAGATGGTAGCCAGTAAGTACCTGTATGATGAAGGGGAAGAAGAGGAGGTCTTCAATGATGAATGGGGGGCTGCAGGGGGTGTGGCTGTACCTACCCTCAATGCACTGGAGAGAAGCTTCCTGAGCGCCATGGTGAGAGTCTGTTTTTTGCCCTGGCTTATTTCCACTTGTACCCTGATAAATATTGAGCAGTTCAGCCACTCCAACCCTGACTACTTATAGTTTCCACTAACTATAGGTAGTTTTATAGTGGAAACTTTCTTATGTTCTCTGTCCGTTCTTGTTTTACCATCCCTTGTTTGTTTTATTTTCCCCAATTACATGTAAGATCAGTTTTTAACATTTAAAAAAAGTTTTGTGTTCCAAATTTTTTTTTTTGGGTGAGCAGTCAGGGTTAAGTGACTTGCCCAGAGTCACACAGCTAGTAAGTGTCAAGTGTTTGAGGCCAGATTTGAACTCAGGTCCTCTGGACTCCAAGGCCAGAGATCTATCCACTGCACCACCTAGCTGATTGTGTTCCAAATTTTATCCCTCCCTACGACAGTAAGCAATCTGATATAGGTTATACAAGTACAGTCATGTAAAACATTTCCATATTAGTCATTTTGTGGAGGAAAACTCAAAACAAAAAGGAAAGAAAAAAATAATAATATGCTTTGGTCTGTATTCACACAACATTATCTGTGTCTTTGGAGGCAGATAGCATTTTACATCATGAGTGAGTCCTTTGGAATTGTCTTGGATTATTGGATTGCTGAGAATAGCCAAGTCATTTACGGTTGTTCATTGTATAATATTACTGTGTACAGTGTTCCCATGCTTCTGGGCACATCACTTTGTATTGGTTTGCGTAAGTCTTAACAGGTTTTTCTGAAATCATTTTGCTTGTCATGTCTTTTAGCACAATAATATCTCATTACTGTCTTATACCACAACTTGTTCAGCCATTCACCAAATGATGGGCATCTCCTTAATTTTCAATCTTTAGTCATCACAAAAAGAGCTGCTATAAATATTTTTGTATAAATAATTTGGTGCTTTTCCTTTTTTTTTTTAATCTCTTTGGGTTACAGGCCTAAGTAGTAGTATTGCTGGATCAAAGGTTATGCCAAGTTTTATAGTCCTTTGGGCATAGTTCCAAATTGCTTTCCAGAATGGTTTCACAATTTCACCAACAGTACATTACTGTCTCAATTTTCCCATATCCCCTCCAAAGTTTGTCATTTTCCTTTTTTATCATGTTAGTCAATCTGATAGGTGTGAGGTGGTACCTCAGAGTTATTTTCATTTCCATTTCTTTAATCAATAGTGATTTAGAACATTTTTTCATATGACTATAGAGAGCTTTGATTTCTTTGTCTGAAAACTGCTCATGCCTTTTAACCATTTTATCAGTTGAGGAATGATCCTTATTGTATTCTATCAGCGTATTCTTATAAATTTGACTTAGTTGTGTATATTTGAGAAATAAGGTCTTTATTGGAGATACTTGCTGTAAAAGTTTTTTTCCCCCAGATTTCAGCTTTCCTTCTAATTTTGGTTGCATTAGTTTTGTTTGTGCAAAAACTTTTAAATTTTATACAGTCAAAATGATCCATTTTACATTTTCTAATGTTCTCTATATTCTGTTTGGTCCTAAATTCTTCCCTTCTCCATATATCTGACAGGTGAACTATTCCATTCACTCCTACTTTGCTTATGGTGTCACATTTTATGTCTAAATCATGTACCCATTTTGACCTTATCTAGGTATACAGTATAAGATGTTGGTCTTTACCTAATTTCTGCCATATTGTTTTCCAGCTATCTCAGCAGTTTTTGTCAGATGAGTTTTTATCCCAAAAAGTTGGATTTTGGGTATATCCAATGCTAAATTACTGTGGTCATTTACTACAATATATTATGTATCTGCTCTATTCTGCTGATCCACCATTCTATTCTTAGCTAGTACCACATTGTTTCTATGATTATCGCTTTATAATACTGTTTGAGATCTGCTACAGCAAGGCCCCCTTCCATCACATTTTTTTTCATTGATTTCTTTGGTATTCTTGACCTTTTGTTCTTCCAGATGAATTTTGTTATTATTTTTCCTAGCTCTATAAAATAATTCTTCGGTAATTTGATTGGTATGGCAATGAATAAACAGATTAATTTAGGTGGAATTGTCTTTTTATTATATTGGCTCAGCCTACACATGAGCTTATTAATATTTTTCCAGTTGTTTAGATTTAACGTTGTTTGTGTGAAAAGTATTTTGTAATTCACATGGTTCCTGTGTTTGTCTTGGCAGGTGGACTCCCAAGTATTTTATATTGTCTACAGTTATTTTAAATGGAATTTCTCTTTCTATGTTTTGCTCCTGGACTTTGTTGGTGATATATAGAAATGCTGATGATCTGTGTGGGTTTATTTTATATACTGCAACTTTGCTAAAATTGTTAATTATCTCAACTAGTATTTTAGTTGATTCTCTAGGATCCTCTTCCCTGTTTATTTTTGTTTACCTTTTCTCATGTTCTTTATTTTTCATAAAAGGATTAGCTCTGTCATCATAATGCTTAATGCCAAAAGCCTTTGGTGAATTGGAATATTAGTTTTAAGGAAAATTTCTGTCCCATGCTCTGTTCTCTCCATCTGTCCTGATTCATAAGTCCTTTCTCTTTTTAAACTCTAGGACTGGAGCCTCTACACTGATCCAAGGGAGATCTTTGAGGTGCTGAGTTGGCTGGAGGGCTGGTAGGTCCTGGAACACTGGGGAGGAAGGACTGATGTGGGGAGAGGGAGGAGGGTGAAGTATGTAGGAGTAAAAGCCGCTGAGGGGTGACTGGATTGTGAAACTAACTCAGTAAAGCACATGGTGGTTGTAGGTAGAATGTCACGTCTCTGGTGCCTTATGGTTCTTACATCTTTTTCCCTGTCTCAGGAATGAGAGGACGGGCTTTCATGGCAGATTTATTTTAACTGTTCAGTGGTTACTGAAAAATGTTGGACTTAATTTTTAAAACTGTGTTTTAAGTAGCTGCAGGAGCTATAGATTTGATAGGTCCCACGGACACCTGTGTAGAATGTTGCCTTTAGCACAGTGGGAGGTGTTGGTTGGGGCAAAAAATTCCATCTTGCCTGGACCTTTCAAGACACATTTCATCTTATGCCAGTGTCGCTGAGCAGCAGGGTCGACGCCGTGGCTGGTATACCTACACAGACTTGTGTGTGCTGTTGGAGCAACGAACTTGGCAATTGGCTTTGGGCTCACTGTGCCAACGTCTGGCCAAGGTGAATGTGATCAGAGGAATGGAAGTTAGGTTGAAGGATAGTGGAGTGAAGGAGGTGTGAGTAGGGGAATGGCTCATGGGTGGAACTAAATGAATTTTGGGGTAGGGTAGGTGTAGTAAGAGCTAGAAGAACCATCAAAATAAATTGATAGGACTTTGGGGGCTCGGCAGAGATTGGGTTGGAGGGATACAGCTTTAGAAGAGTGTAGAACTCTCTATTTTTGAAGAAACGGGTGGATATTGACAAGGGAACAGACCAGTATATATATGCAAAAGTTTTTGGGCTCTGACATTTATTTTTCTCTCTCCCACAGCTGGCTTGCCTGCTAGCCTTGGCTTATGTGAGCAGTGTAGCTGTGACTGTGGCCTCTGTGACTGTCCTGTACCAGATCTTGGGGCTGCATGGCACTCCTCCACCAGGGCCCCCTGATGTTGGTTGTCTTACTCCCAAGTGCCCACTGGGGCCTTGTTCTCTATCTTCAGCTTCTGTTCCACAGTTCCTACCCCTTTCTGCTAACACCTCCCAAAATCTAGTGGGGAACATGGGACTGCATTCACTGTGGGGGAGTCTTCTGGCTACATTGAGTCCTTCTCCATTGCCTCCAGCACCTTTACCAGGCACCCCAACTTCTCAGCCCTGCCCCCTTTGTCGGCAGCTCCAGATAGACTCCCCAAACCACTATGCCTGTCAGCGTACCAACTATACAACCACAGTGAGGCCTCTCAGTCCCTGGTATCCCCCACCTGGCCAAGCCCCACCCTGGCCCTGGAGCCCTGTAGCTCCCGTCCTCCCCCAGCCACAGCAGTGCTCCTTGTTTGGTGCTATGGAGCTGGCCCGCCTCAAATCCTTTATCTTTCCAGGATAGAGAGAGACTCTGAAAATGTGTTGAGGGGGAGTTAGGTTGCCCTGGGGGACTTACAGGACAAAGTTTTATCTATTGGGAAAGAGGAATTTAAAAACTTGTGACTTAGATTCTCTCTTCCTTTCTGGATCCTTTGTTCTCTTTCCTCTAAGGGGAAAGGTAAATGGGGTTGTTGTGGCAGTGGGGTGAAGAGTATGTTGTCTGTCTTTGTGGCTTTTGCCTATGACTTCATGGCTAGGTGCCACAGAATTGGCTTTGTGATGTCACTTGGGAAGGCTTCATCCTGGTGACCTGTGTGATGTCACATGTAGAAGGCCAGGGGGAAGACTCATCCACTTTTCTGAGGCTTTCTAGAGTTGATAATGACTTTTGCTCTTGTTTCTTAGGATGAGTGGGGCAAGGATGAGAGTAGAGGGACAGATTGAAGCTGGTCTATGTGAAGTCCCTAGGGCTTGAGTACTAGGGGATGATAGGACCAGGGAGTTGGAGGGTGCTTGGGAATAACATCGAGGGAGGTGGTGGAGAAAGAGCCCCTTTTGAGTTAAAACTTAAGGATAGTTAGCCTTTAGCCTCTGTCCTCCGGTGCCCCCTGCCCATATACTTTGTTCTTCAGTGGTACGGCTCCCCTGGGTCTCTCCTCAGGTCTCTGGCCCCTGGTTTGTACTTGGTTGGTTTTTTCCATGCTTTTATAGAAGAATTTGGAGTTTCAATAAACAGTGTAAGTTGCATGGCCTGGACTCTGCTTCCTGCGCCAGCCCCTGACCACATCCAAGGCTTTCAGACCTATAATTAACATGTCTCTTGGCCCCTTCATTTCTCAAACCTTTTCTCTGTGCATATCTTCCAAGCCTCCAGTTCTCATAGATTTTGGTCCCAATTTCGAGGCTACTCCATGATTCCTGTATCCCAGTGGCCCTTGTTCTTTTATTCACTATTCCCAGTCCCCTATCTCTCTCTTGTGCAGTTGAGGCCTGGAAGGTTGTAACCATATCCTTTGACTATTGTCTTAGTTACAGGTTTATCACTCATTCTGAATGAGCTTGACCCAGATTTCAACTCAGGAAGATGAGTCTTCCTGATTCTAGGCCCAGCACTCTGTCCAGTGAGTCACCTAGCTGCCCCATAGGGTGCTATTGTTCCTTGAGAAATGTGAAGGAGGTAATTTTAGAGAAACCTGGAAAGATTAATGTGAACTTATGCAGAGTGAAAGTACTCAGAACTAGGTTTTATACAGTAACAACATTATTAAACACAATCAACTTTGAAAGACTTAAGAACTCCAATCAACATAGTATCCTGCACAGCTACATGTGCCTGATATGACAGGCTATTTACCTCCTGACAGAGGTGAGGGGGCTAGGGTACCAATGGAGACATAGAGTGAGGTAATTAGTTTTGCTTTTCCCACACCTATGTCTTATAGTGGTTTGGAGCGTAATTAATGGCCATTTTGGAAAGCCGGAATGAGTGGGTACTTTTGGCACCAGTGATATGTATGGTATGCCACCCACACTTTGTTCCTTCTGCAGGGGCTGGGGCTTTGGCGAGTAGAAGACCAAGACATTAGGGCCTGGGGGTAGGAGGGGACTTGACAGAACAAGGTCCCCCAGTTAATAGGTGATGGAGTGTGCTACAGAGCTGGGCAAAGGTGAATGTTCCCCTGTGCTCCTGTACATTCCCTCATCCCTTTGCTTTGCTTCACTGCCACTCCTGCCCCTCCCTAAACTAGGCAGGTGACGCCACTCGATTCTAGCCCCTTCCACTGGATGCCCTAACCTGTGGACCAAAGCAGCAAGGATAGGGCTGATAGACGTGGGGTGGGGGCAGCATGAACAAACCAATTCCCCAGCCTAGCCCACTCCCTTCTCTGGCTTCGAAGCTGGCTCCCCAAAGCCCCTCACCCCAGTCCTGGGATTCCTTCTGTGGAAGCCCTTCATGGGGCCTCAGCTGGCTCTTGGCTGTACAGGTAGGAGGAGGCATAGACGGAGATTTGTGTGTCTAACGGGACATCTGGGAGGTGGCGAGCATAAGTTCCTGGGGGAAGGGTATTTGAGAGTCCCCACTCCCATCCCCTTCTGCAGCACATTCTGGTCCAGGCCTCTCTGCTCTGCATTTGCCACCTGCTCCTGCTTCACAGTCTTCCACCAGGAGGACTCTCCTATCCTCCTGGCCAGCTCCTGGCTTCCAGTCTCTTCTCTTGTGGTTTGTCTACTGCCGTGCAAACCTGGATGGGCAGCAGGTGAGGGGGAAACAGGAAGGGCAAATTGAAGAGATCTTGTTTGGTGGGAACAGTGCCTTTAGGGAGGGAGATTCCTCTCACCCTACCCCAACCGCCCCACTAAGCCTTTCAAGCCAGTGCACTCTATCCTTTTCTGCCTGCTGTGCATACAGGCTCCCACTGGTCCAGGCCCCATCCTTTGAATTTCTCATTCCTGCTCTGGTGTTGGCCAGCCAGAAACCATACCAAGCTACCTGGGCACCTGGAAACAGTGAGCATTGGGCAAGGGCATGGGGAAATGTCACCAGAAACCTCTGCGAGTTGGAAAATTGAAGATGAGTTGCATATCCATATTTGTTACAGGGGAGTCAGGTTGGGGTGACAGAGAATAGAGAATCCAGAGGTTGGGTTAGGTACTGTTAGTTGGCACTTACAGGCAGCAACAATTGGTCTCCATCTACACAGATTTCCAAGTCCTTATATTCATTCCTTCCACCATTCTTTCCCAGATTCCCGTGCACTGAGTCCCTGTGTGGGAACAGGTTGCCCTATCCTGGGAAGTTGGGATGAGGCTCTTAGAGAGGTGGGTGTTCTCTCTTAGAGGGGTGGGAAGAGTAAAAGTGGCATATGTGGGGTAGGGGAAGGGCAGAGATGGTTTTTTTCTTGTTCTTTTTATGAAGGTTCCTGGCTCTGAGACTGTCTCAGGAGGAAAGGGCCAGGGGAGGGAAGTACTAAAGTTTCTGGGACCTGCCCCAGAGGTTGCCTTCTCAAGATTCAGGGTGCAGCCTCTATTTTCCTCCTTTATTCCCAACCCTATTTCTTTCCACCCCTATTCAGGTGTCAGGTGCTGTGCTGATGTCTGGGCTGCTCCAGGGAACACTAGGGTTGTTGGGCGGGCCTGGTCGATTGTTTCTTCATTTTGGACCCCTGGTCCTTGCTCCCAGCCTGGTTGTGGTAGGGCTTTCTGCTCACAAGGAAGTTGCACTGTTCTGTTCCACAAGTTGGGGCCTTGCATTGCTGTACGTGAGTCCCAGCAGCAGCATGGACAAATCTGAGCTGCCTTGATTCAGTAAAGATCTGGGGAAGGGCAACACAAGGAATTTGGAGTCTAAAACTTTTTGCCCAAGCTTTCCATTATTTTAACCCCCACAATTGATTCCATTCATTGCCTCACTACAACATTACTTCTCCCTTCCCTTATGCCCCCCATTCCCCTTCAACACTGCTCAGATTCCCTATAAATCCCCGATGGTGGTATCTCCTCTTTCACTTTCCCTGTGCCCTCGTTGTACCCAAATCTCATGGTACACAAACTCAAATCACCCTTTCTCCCATACCATGCCCTGTGCTTTATTGTGATGGCTTCCTTTCTTCCATGATATTAAAGAGTCTCTCTCTTTTAGGCCTATCCTACTTATAGTTGTATGTTCTCAGCATCTGGGATCCTGCCTGCTGCCCTTGTGTCCACTGCGAACTCCTGTCCTTCCAACTCACACCCACGTCCCTGTCTTCCGCCTCTTCTCGGTATGTGGAGGCCAGTGGTGATTGGAATTCCTCAGAGGTGTGTCCTCAGCCATCCTACCTGTCAGTTTCACCTATGTCTGTTCCTGCAGGGCATGGGCTGGGGTCGGGGATTCCATCCTGTCTCAGTCTTGTCTCATACAGGTGCTGCTCCCTGTGATCTGTGTTTGGATCCTCTCTGCTTTATTGGGCCTTAGTTTCATCCCACAGAAGCTGTCTGCCCCTAACATCGCCCCATGGCTGTGGCTGCCTCACCCAGGTTTGACCTCCCAGACCACTTTTACCCCCCTCTAGTCTAGTCCCCATCCAGTCACCTAGATAGACATGAATGTTTTCAGAGTTAGGATCAATCAGCACTTATTAAGTGCCAGGCACTGTGCCAAGTACTGGGGCTACAAAGAAAGGCACAAATCAGCCCTTGCCTTTAAGGAGCTTACAGTCTAATGGGGGAGACAACATGTAAAAAGAGGCTAAGGGGAGGTTCATAATGCAGTCATGAATTGGGGTGGGAAAAGATCTGAGGAGGTATGAGTTTCCGAGCTGATTTCATCTTGTAGAATGGTGAGTTTCTAGAGATGATGAAATCCCGGAAAGCAATAGTTCTACTTCTCTGAAGTCAATGTTTAATGTATTTTGTTTCTGGCTTAAGGCCTGAGTTTTCCCCCAAGCTTATAGTGTCAGTGTTTAAGACTTTGTGCTTGTGGGAGAAATAGTTTTGTCATAGAGAATAAAAGAGAGTTCTAGAAACAAGAGTCTTCACTTGCTGTGTTGGAACAAGTAGATTCCCAAGACTCTAGGCGGGGAGCAAATGGGACCAGGTTAGGCATTTCAGATTTGTTATCTTTAACATCTGAGATGCCAAATGACTCCCCAATATCTTTGCAGGTGGATGGAGTTGGCCCAAGCTGACCCTCCGGGGCCTGGCTGCAGGCACTACCATGGCACTGGCATCTTCTACCAGCTCCTTGTGCTGTTACGCATTGTGTGGTCGGCTGCTGCAGCTGAGTCCTCCCCCTTCCTATGCCTGCAGTCGAGGCCTGGGCTTTGAGGGCCTAGGCAGCCTGCTGGCTGCGCTCTTGGGGAGCCCTTTGGGTATTGCCTCCAGCTTCCCCAATGTGGGCACCACCAGCCTCACCCAGGTATCGACCTTGGAGCTGGAAGATGAACGGAGGTTTCCTGAGGAGGGCAGGGGATATAGGGAAGTGGATCTAACACTTTTGGCTGTGCAACTGAACCTCTATCCTCACTTAGGCTGGGTCTCATAGAGTGGCAAGGCTAGTCAGCCTACTGAGTATAGGGTTGGGTCTCTCTCCACGATTGGCACAGGCCCTCACCACCATCCCGCTGCCAGTTCATGGTGAGTACAAATCCTTGCTGTGAGTTTCCTTGTCTTCTTGACCCCTTTTAAAACCTTTTCTGTTCCTCATCAACATTTTCTAGTTGAGTCAGCAATACAAGAGGATAGGATTGAATTTTCATCCTTCTACTTGTCCTGAGATTTTACCACCCTTGGTACAGGGACTTGAGCAAGCTTTCTCTGTACGTGGCACACAGCTTGTCCCTATTCAGAACTTTGATGTGTACCACCTTCCCATCCTTGCCAAAGTCCAATGCCTTTTGCCCTCAGTTCTCTTGCTGTTGGGCCTCTCTTTAGCATTTCTTACTGAGAAGCCCCCATCTTGCTTAATCCTTTCTTCCCTTGGCTTCTATGACACTGCATGATCAGTTTTCCTACTACCTATCTGACAGTTCCTCCTGGATCTCTTGTTGACTCTTTTTTTAAAAAAAATATATATATATTTTGTCTGTTTTTGGCGAGGCAATTGAAGGTAAGTGACTTGCCCAGGGTCCCACAGCTAGTGAGTATCATATGTCTGAGGCCAAATTTGAACTCTGGTCCTCCTCACTCCAGGGCCGGTGCTCTATCCACTGTGCCACCTAGCTGCCCCTCTTGTTGACTCTTCATCCTCCTTCCACCCCTTAAGAGTGTTTTGTTCTTAGTTGTTCCTTCTTCATACTGTTTCCTTTGGCAGGCTCATTCAGTGTTATAGCTTTAATTATTACCTCTGTGTGGTTGACTTAAATCTATTGTCTCCAGCCCTGAGCTCTAGCCCCATATTTGCAGCTGCCTGCTGGATATATCCTCTTGGATATCTGTCAACCAGCATTTATTGTAGCTCTAGTATGTGCTGGGCACAATGGATGAAAACATCCTTGTCTTCAAAGAGCTTCTATCAAAAAAGACAACATATGCATATGTAGATATATGCAAAATAGAAACACAATGAAAGGGAGGGATTTTTTTTTGTTTTTGTTTTTTGTAGGGGAGGCAGTTAAGTGCTAAGTCAGCACTTAGCAAAGGCTTCATAGAGGAGGTAGCCCTTGAACTGGGCTTTACAGGAAAGGAGGGATTCTAAGACTTGGAGGTGAGGAGGAAATCCAAAGGTGTAGAGATGGAATTTTGTGAGGAACAGCTAGAAACCCCCCACAGTTCAAACATAACATGTCTCAAATTTAGCTCATCATTTTCTCCTTAAAACTTAGACATCCCCCCCTCATGTTATCTCGATTTCTGTTGATGGCACCATCCTCTGAGGCTGCTCCTTTCATTCCCATTGAAACCACCCTAGTTCAGGCCCTCATTACCTCTTGGGGAGGTGATTGCAAAAATTTAGTAACTGGTTTTCCTTCCTTTGTCCCCACCCCCCACCCCCCACCCCCCACCCCAATCCCCCCTTCATTTTTCACAGGATTCCCCACATAGTCTTCCTAATTCATCATTCTGGTCATAGTGATATTTTGGTCTCTCAAATATCTCTTTATTGTAGTATTCAAGGATATCCCTGCTCCATCGGGGCTTCAGCTTTCCTCTCTAGTTTCCTCTCATGCTGTTCTGCTCCAGATCTCTCATATTCCAGATAGAAAAGCATGGGATATCTCATGCCTTTATGTGCATTGTAAAAAGAGTGTTGGACCTGAGTGAGAATTTGATTTTGATCTCTGCCATTTAAATGTGTGACCTCCTGGACAAAACATTTCTTTGTTCAGAAATGTTTCATTTAATTAGCTTCCTCCTCTTTAAAATGAGGATCATCTCTTCACTGCCTACCTCACAGGGCTGTTGTAAGGAATGCTATGTAAATGTGTTTGATGGAGATACTATTTGCTCAAACAACTGTCTTCTGTGCTTGGAATGAATTCTTCTTCATCTCCAACTGTTGAAATTATTTTTCTCCTTAAGGGCCAACCTCAGGTGATCAGTTTTTCCATGAAGCCTTCCGTGACAAACCAGCTGGAAATGAAGTTTCCCTCAGCTTTCTCATCATACTTTTAGACCTTTCCTTTCCACTTTTTACGTTTTGCATTTTATTATATTTATTTGTATACATCTTTATACCCCAGTGTTAGATTGTAACCTCCTTGAGGGAAGAATGTTTTTTATCTCATCCTTGTATCCCCAGTCCCTGGCACAAAATTGAAATGGGTTCCCCACCTAGGTGCTGTGCTGGGGGTGAACCAGGCAGTCATCTTGTCTACTGGCTTTTCCTACTTCTACTTTACGGACATTGACTCAGGACGCAATGTCTTCATTGTTGGTTTTGCTGTCTTCATGGCACTGCTGCTACCCCGATGGCTTCAGGATGCTCCTGTTCTCAACACAGGTGGGATAAGTAGGAAGGGGAGGAGGAGGAGGAGGAAGAGGAGGAGCTCTCAAATAGAGATTGCTAGAGGGCTCCTAAGTCTCCAGTCCTTAGGTCTCTCCTCCAGGCTTCAGTCCAAACCAAACCAGGTCTTTCACAGGAGAGAAAGTTGGGGGTATTTGGAACCAAAAGGATCCAGTATGTCCTGGAGTGTGTTAGATATTTTGGGGTCCTGGAGCCCAGAAGCAGAAAGCATTGAGGCGAGATTCAAGTGCTGAATGGTAGGAGGTAATGGAACTGGTGAACGGAAGGAAAGGAAGGGGAGGATGCTTGCTCCAGGAGGTTGGACTTTGGTATTAACTGATCTTGGACAAATCAGTTCATCTATTCAGTTTCCTCATCTGTAAAATGAGGGGACTGGACTAGAGAACAGCTCATATTTGTAGACACTTTGCCATTTACAAAGTACTTTCTTCACAGCCACCTAAGGAAGAAGGCAGGTAGTGCAAGAATCATTCCCATTTGACAGGTGAAGAAACAGTGAGATATAGAGGTACTCAAGGTTGTACAAAGAGTAGAACATTCTGACTTGGATGCCTTCTCTAAGGCATCATGGTTTCCAGTCTTTGACATTTTGACATTCCAAGTCTCCTGATCAGGTCTGGCCCTGTGGGATTATCAGTCCAGCTTTCCCCCGTTGTGTAGGTTTGAGTCCTGTGGATGTGCTGCTTTGTTCCTTTTTGGCGGAGCCTGTGCTTCTGGCTGGCCTGTTGAGCTTCCTCCTGGAAAATACCATCCCGGGTGAGGAGAAAAGGGGCAGGACAGTGGAGGCGGGAGGGTTTTCCACAGGAAGAAGTGACTTGTTCTTGACCGATCTTTTTCCCTCGACTGGCTTTTCAGGCACTCGGCTAGAGCGAGGCCTGCCATCTCCTAAGGAGGCTCAGACCTGTGCGAAGCCCAGAAAGGATGCTTTGGGATACGAGCTGCCCGCCCCCTTCCAGACGCTGTGCTCCTTTGTCCCCCAGCCCCTGCGATGCCTCTGCTCCCCAGCCGAGGACGCTGGGGATGAGGAGCGAGGGCCTTCGGAGCCAAGAGAAACTGCTGGCCTGCTGCCCAGCGCCGAGGATCTGCGCCTCGGTCTGGCCGTGACCAGGGCTGACTGACGGAGGGCCCCTCCTCACGGGCCAGGGCTGCGCATTCCTTGTGAGAGACCCCTCCCCCCCCCCGGCTTCTCCTTCCAGCGTCTCCCAAGCCGACCCGAAGGAGGCGGCCCCGCCTCATGACGTATAAATTTCACCTAAACCGCAAGAGTTGGTTTGGAGACTCATCAATTCGGCCTAAGCAGCCCCTTACCGCCCCTCTCCTTATCTCGAGCTACCGAGGCCCCAGGATGGGGGCGGGGTTACAGGGAGAGGCGCTTAAGACCACGCCCACTCAGGTGGGCGGTCCCGCCCCCTCCTCTTGGGCAAGGGTGCGCGCGCACGACGGGGTGGGCTGGCGGCTATGACGTCACGGTAGGAAAGGAAAGGCTGGAGTGGGAAGCGAGAAAAGCTGAGGAGCTTGGGCTGGGGGTGCGTGACGTGGGGTTAAGAGTTACATGTGGCAGGGGATAGAGTGGATGGGGTCGAGGCTTTCGTCCTGGGAAAAAGTGAGAAGGAGCGCTATCCGGGAGGTGCCGGGTGGGGGTGGGGCGGGGCCAAGGCGGCGCTCGCATGCGCGAAGCAGCCCTAACCTTCTGGGAGCCGGGGCGGGCCTCGGGAGGGGGGCGGAGTGACTGGCACGGCAGGCTGCGCTTGCGTCTGGCTCATGCTAGAGGAGCGGAGCGGCAGCGCCCCCAGAGGCCGCGCGGTCCCGAGGTCCTTCAGGGAGAGAGCCGCCTAGGCAGCGTCGCTGGGCCGGGCTGCCCCCTGGTGGTGGCCCAAGGGGAGGAGCTTTTGGGGGTGCGCGGGCAGTCCGGGCTGCGGTCACCTGCTGCAGAGATGCCAAAGGGGCCTAATTCATTCCTTCCCGACTGTGACACGACGGGGTCGGACTAGGCGACCAAGGAGGAGCCTCCTTGGGCTCTTAGTAGGCCCGAGGCTGGGGACGGAGGATGGATGGATGACTCAGCGTGATCCCCCGAGCCCTGTCACCCATCTCCTCCGAGGTGTCCGTGTCAGCTCTCTAGGTGCCCAAGCTTCGATTCTCAGTATTTAAGAGAGCCCAAGCCAAATCTCCTCTTGCGGATGAAGAAACTGAGGCTCAGAGAGGACCGCTTACCCAGCAACTCAGTGCCAGTGAGACTTAAACAGCATCTTCTTCTCCGATTTCACCAGCCCCCCCCCATACCCACCTCCACTTAAATAAGGGTTCATTCCTTCACTGTGGGCCCGAGGCTTCCACAATGTTAAGTTCTTAAGCTTTGGTCACCGTTCTGACTTCGGAAAACAGAAATAAAAGTGAATTATCTCTCTCTTCTCATGGGTATAGGCTTGTATAAAAATAACACCTTTATAAAAAGCCTTTGCAAATAAAAAGCACAATGCAAACGGCAATAAGGATGTCTTCATCTTGTCAATGATTGTTGTTGCACCACCAGTGATTCCCCTAAGAGTCATATGCTAAAGCCCATTCTATACCAAGTAACAGCAGTGAGGAATGGTAGTGATAATTATGTTCACTTAGTGCTGTAAGATTCAGGCTACTTTGGAGTCAGGGGGCAGTATTTATGGTGCACCGGTTGGGTGTAGTATTGCACTGGATGTTTCGTGTGGCTGTGAGAAAAATGGACAGTATGGTTTTATGTTCTGTAGGAAATCAAGAATGATCAGTTCAGTTCCACGAACTTAAGCCAGGCTCTGTGCTAAGTGCCAGGAGTACAAAACCAAAAATGAAACAGTTCCTGCTCTCAAGGAGCTTGTGTTCTGCTTGAGGGAGCAAGGGAGGACCAGTTCTCCTTGATTGAGATGGGGCTGACTCAGCACCTCTAACTGGTATTGTATATCTAGTTAGATCTGTACTGGTCTAATGGAGCTATTCTATGTTGCGATGGGAGTTTTGAGCTTTTTTTATTCTTAAATCTGTTTTAAGTGATAGCTGTGTGGGGAATAAATAGATATTGGTTTGTTTTTTTAATTGGGGAAGAGGTTTGAATAGGATGTTATCGGGGATAGAAATACCTGGTTATTGCCTTTCCCAGTGCAAGGTTGGGTGAATGGATATTCTCTTACAGATGGAAGAACTGGAACGTGGTCTGCTGATCCAGCCGTGGGCATGGCTGCAGCTTTCGGAGGACTCACTTCTAGCCAAGGCCTACATCAACACACACAAGGGCTATGCCCTTCTTCTCTCTGACCTCCGACAGGTGTGGCATGAGCAAGTCGACACAAGCGTGGTCAGCCAACGGGCCAAGGTAAATGGGAGTGACAGGAATGGGAAAAATACAGTTTATTTTCCACCTAGTAAAGCCCAGAGGGGCATATCCACAAATTGGTGCATTTGCTTTTGCATTGCTAAGGAGAATTGAAGAGTTAGTAGAACATAGTAGAACCCTGCACTGGAAACCAAGGCATTTGGGGTTTGGTCCCTGCTCTCCTGGTAACTACCTTTGTTACTTTGGACAAATTATTTAACCTCTTTGAGCCTCAGTTTCCTCATCTAGAAAACATGGATTGGACCACCTGAATGATAAAGTTTCTTCTGTCACTGAAATTATATGATTCTATATTTTTTGTAATAGTTCAGTGTTAAAAATCTTTTGCTTGGCTTTAAAGGCTTTATACGTCCTAGTGCCATCTTACATTTGCAGTCATGTCTCATGCTGTTTACCTTCCCATATGCTATATGCCTGACAAATTGAGCTTTAGGACCAAGGTTTGAATCCCACCTCTGCCCTCTGTCATACACGTGACCTTGGGCAAGTCACATTCTGGGCTTCAGTTTCCTCATCTTTAAAATGTAAATTTGAATTATATGGCCCATAAGGGCCTTTCTGTCTCCAAATCCATGATTCTGTGATCTCCCTGAACTTTTCTGCCTCCTCGATTTGCTTACAGTGTTCCTCATGCCAGAAATGTCATCGCTTTCCTTCTATTTGTAAAATTGCCTACCTATCCCTTAAATGTGTAGCTGAAATGCCATCTCCTCATGACATCTTCTCTGTTTTCCCCAGTCAATAATGGTCTTTTCAATTCAATAAGCATTTATTAAGTACCATTGTATGCAAGGCATTGCGAGGAGTAGAAAGAAGAAGCAAAACCATTTATTTTCAATGAACTCATATTTGTCTGGGAAGATAGAGCATGACATTTAATTGTTCATAGTTTATCTCCCCATCCTCCAGTAGAATTTGAGGAGAAAACGTAGTCTAACAGCTGGGAAGATGAAGGACAGTTCTCTGGAGGAGTTAGCACCTGATGTAAATCTTAAAGGATGATAAAGATTCAGAAAAGGAGGAGAACATTCTGCCTCTTGGGGAGGTTCTGGAAATAGCTATGATAGTCCACTTTGGCTGGAACATGAAATGTATGAAGGGATTTTAATGTGAAATAAAGTAAAAAATTAAGGTTGGAACCTATTCAGCAATTGTGGAGGGTCTTAAAAGTCAGTTTGTATTTTATCCTAGAGACCGTTATGCAGAGGCACTGAAGATTTTGGAGGAGATCAGAACTGTGCCTTAAGAATATTATTTTAGAAGCTGTTAGGGGTATGGATTAGAGGTAGAGAGAGATTCGAGGCAGAGGCACTAGTTAGGGTACTATGGTAGTAGTCTAGGTGAGAGGTGCTGAGGAGCAGAATTGTGAACAGAGAGAAGGGGACAGGCAGATGCAGGAGATGTTTTGGAGGTAGGACTGATAGGATTTAGTGATTTATTGGCTATCAGGTAAGAGGGAAAGAGAAAGAGTCAAGGATGACTGAGATTACAATCCTGGGTGCCTAAGATTATAAAGGTACCCTCAACACAATTATGGAAGTTCGAAATTGGGGCAGATTTTAGGGAGGAAGGTGAAGCGGGCTGTTTTAGATATGTCAAATTTGAAATCATGTGTGGAACATTTCAGATGGAGATGGCTAGCAGTCAGTTTAATGATCTAGGACTGCATTTCAGAGTTGGAAACATAGATTTTGGAGTCATAGATAATGTACAGATAATAATGAAACTCATTGGATTGGGAGATAGATCCATCACTAAGGGACAGAGAAGAGAAAAGGATCTAGGAGTGATCCTTGGGAAACACCCATATTTAGGGGAGTGGGAGATAGAGGATGATCCAGTAAGAGAAATTAGGAAGAATCATTCAGTTGGATTAGAGGAGGGTCATGGAAACCAAACCAAACCAGCGAATGTCCAGGAACAGGGCAAACTACAGAGGTCAAGGAAGATGAGAATTGAGAAAAAATCATCAGGTCATTGATAGCTTTTAAGAGAGCAATTTCAGTTAGTGCAAGCTGACTCCCTAGTGGTGGGGTCAGAAGCTGGAGTGAAAGTGGCTGAGAAATGAGTGGGTGGTAAAGTTAATCGGTAAAGAGCCATAAAAAACGACCCCCTCACACTGCCTTTACTTAAGGCCAGTCATATAAGAATAAGAGTCACCACCTTATTAGATTTGGAGCATTGGTTAGGCCACTCTGCTCTTGAAGAACATTTCACAATCTCTGCATCTCTTCTGGTACAGGAGCTGAATAAACGACTGACTGCAACTCCTTCTGCCTTCCTCTCCCACTTGAGAGACCTCATGTGCATCTTATTGGAAGGTCCGGCTGATCCCAGAGGGGCCACTTTCTCTTGTGAGCTTATGCCAGAGGGACTGTCGCTGCGTGTTCGGAGTGAGCTCTCTGGTCTACCCTTTCACTGGAACTTCCAATGTGCCTTGGCTAGCCCTTCTCTGGTGAGTGCAGAATGGAAACTAGGCCTTCTTTAACTGATGGAATTCTTCTCTTGTTGGAGGAAGGGATTTTTTATAGTGAAAAGAAAATCAGGAATGTTGTTCCTCTGCCTCTCTAAAACTGTTTTTCCTTAGAAACCTTTTGGCTAGGTGAGAGGCAGATTTTATTTTATTTTATTTTTTTGCTTTTTGATGAGGCAATCAGGGTTAAGTGACTTGCCCAGGGTCACACAACTAGTAAGTATCAAGTGTCTGAGGCCGGATTTGAACTCAGGTCCTCCTGATTGCAAGGCTGGAGCTCTATCCACTGTGCCACCTAGCTGCTGCTTAATTTTTTTTTTAAACTTAAACAGTGTCACTTTATTGTAGAAGATAATTCAGCTTACACATTTTCATATTTTGCTCCCCAAAATCCAATTTTATGTAACAATACATAGATACAAATGGATAAAACAATTCTCATAAATACTCTTATGAACTACATGTGTAAGATTCAGCTTTACATCAAGATGTAAATCAAACATGAGAATCTTATTTTTGTCCTATGTGGGTATTTCTAAGCTTGCCACTTTTGGGGTAAAATGTAATTTCTCAAAATGAAGGGAGATCCTAAAAATGTATCAAAAGCACTTATACACACTGGCTTCAGTAGTCTAGTTTGTGCAGAAATCTTTCCACTAGATTCATGGAGCTGGCTTTAGGAGAAACTTATCACTTGGTCAGCCGTCTGACCATCTGTAGCTCTTTAGCAGCCTTCCACTTTTGGTGAATTGTGAAAAGCTTTTGAGGCAGGTCAGTTTGGTCATATTTTCCCGTGGTTCTGGATTTTTCTTTCTGTTAATGATCACATCAGTCTTGAAAACGTAATAATATGGACACATAGGCTGCTCAAAATCCTGAGAAACTCACAGATGTGATCAAAAGAATAAGTTCTTTCTTTTTAATCATGAATTGTAAGAGGTTCACAATTGCAAATTTTGGGTTGAAAGACTTGATCCTTGGCCAGCAAATGTTTTCTCCACAAAGGGAACTTGAGTTAGGTTGATAGCTTGTATTTCTGCACTTTTTAAGATGCACAAAGCCCATTCTATATGTTGGCTAATTTGATCCTCCTCACAACAACCTTGAGAGGTAGATATCACTATTCTATAGATGAGGAAACTGAGGCTGAGCAACAGGGATGCTTGTGAGAGGGGTCACCCAGCTCATAAATGTGTGACGCTAGATCTTAAGCCCAGTGCACTAGCCCCTACAACACCTTCTTATCCTTCAGTGAAGTTGTGACCTCACTGGTGCAGATTGCCATCTGTGAACTTTCATCCCACATCATTCTTGTTTGTGTGTGTTTCACTAATTTTCCGCAGAGTGGCTGCCCAGAGTGCTGGAGGCCTTCCTCTAAGTCTTGTTACGTTTTGAGGACACCATTAGAGGCAACTAGTGGTACAGTGGAGAAAGATCTAGGGTCAGGGAGACCTGAGCTCAAATCCAGTCTCAGACACTTGCTAGCTGTGTGACCCTGGGCAAGTCACTTAAACCTCTGTCTTCAGTTTCTTCAGTTGTAAAATGGGAATATTAACTACACCTACCTTTCAGGTTTGTTCTGAGGATCAAATGAGATAACAATTATAAAGCGCTTATTACAGTGCTTGGCACGTAGTAGGAGCTTTCTCCTTTCCTTTTGTCAGAGAACTTGAGCAGTCTGTTTTTTACCACTTGTTTGTGTCACATCACTGGCTTTTCCAGTCTTACATTTACATTTTACAACTTACATTTTTCCAGTCTAACATCTCCTCAGTGCTATCCCTTTTATTTTGTCTTGAGAGGTGGTAATCATTGGAAATATATGTCCTACAATATATTCATATAGGTGATGTGTAATATCATATATGTGTGTGTATGTATATGCAACTTTGGATTCTGATACACATACCGATGCAATTCAGTGGTAGGCCGCTAGGTGGTGCAGTGGATAGAGTTCAAGGCCTGGAGTCAGGAAGACTTATCTTCATGAGTTCAAATCACTTGACCCTATCTGCCTTAGTTTCCTCATCTGTCAAATGAGCTGGAGAAAGAAATGGCAAACACTCCTTTATCTTTGCCAAGAAAACCCCAAATGGGGTCACGAAGAGATGGGCACAACTGAAACGACTGAACAACCCAAATTCAGGGTATTGTCTGGCCATCCAACAGCGTGCTATCATCTGCGTAATGGGCATTTTTAGGACACTGAGTTTTTCTTGCATGGATTACCAGTCTATTTCTTTTGAATAATCTAGATTTCATTGAGAAGGCCTTGTAAAGTCAGCGCTGTGTCATCAGCAAACATGATTACCTAGAGGATCTCACCACCTCTGCATCACCATCGCTCTTCCATTTGTTCTTTGTGCCGGACATCCACTGTTAAAAGTGCAGAACATTTTGGCCAGTGTATGTTTCTGTTTTATGCTTCACTTGATATTGCACAGTAATGCACAGCGCTAATCCTATTGAGTCTTTCAAAGAATCTTGCATAATCTTCGATGAGCAAAGGAGACACCTTCCCGGAGGAGAGCCTTCTAGACATCCAAGGTTGTCAGACAATAGTTAAAGAGCAGGGAGCAGAGCAGGGTTCTCTGTTCTCCCCTTTCAGATGGGGGTGTGACTGTAAAGAGGGCAGATGAGGGGGTGTTTGGGAAAGTTTGCCTATTCTTTTCTTGTGTTTTCGTTGTTGAATACTCCCAATGTACATGCAGCGCATTCTCATAAAGATTTTTATAACAGCTTGGTATTTTGGTTAGCAACTCGTGTGTGTGTGTGTGTTAGCAATTCTAGATGTTCTCTTAGTCATCCTTTTGGGGCATTACTTTTCTCTGTGATTATCCTTTTTTAAAGTATTGAATAACAGCAGTTAAATTATAATCAGGAAAATATTTTAACTTGTACCCATGTTCTTGCATTTCTCTAAATATTGCTCATTATAGCCTCTTTCTATAAAAATCCATATGAATATTTATAATTAATTGTCAATTGGATAGAGATCTCCTTCACTCAGCATTTATTCTAAGCACTTTCTGTGTGTAAGATGCTACATTAGATAGTGGGATCATATTCTTTGCTGAATCTGTAATTTCATCAATGTCAGTATTCTGTCTAGTAATGCAACAACCCACCTGTGTCTGCTCATTCTGTGCTGCTCTTGTCCCTATCTCCCAGAGTGTTTTCGGTAGACAGGATTTTTAGCAAAATGCAGAAGCCCTGAGGCCTTCCCTGAGTTGCATTGAAATGCTTTCCTCAGCTTCTTAAAGATTACTTACTTCTCTCTTAAGTGATTTCCTCCAAGTGTTCTTGGTTTGGTAAATACCTTACAATTCTTATTGCAGTAAAAGCATGGTCATTTAAAAACAACAAAAAGAGTATGGTCTTTTCTTCACACTCATTTGCCCACAAGGCTTGCTGTAAGGGTTTGGAATTTTCTTTGGGTGGGTCTTGTTCTTTCATTAGTGCTGGGAGCTTCCAGTGAGGAAGCTCCTTGTACCTCTGCAAAATAGCACCTCCTTTATAATTTAGAGGCTTAAGAGAGTTGCCTAAAGCACTGAGAGGCTATGACCTGTCCAGGTCACATAGCATGTGTCAGAGGCAAGTCTGGAAAAGACATTTTCCTCACTCTGAGGGTCACTCTATCCATTACTCTACACATTGCCTCCTTTTGGAAGTGTTAGGGGAGAAGAAACAGAACATATCTAATGTCAGCTATGATTTGGTTTGTGACCCAGGGAAGGTTGTAGTTTCAGATTATTTCCAGTCCTGTACCAGATCTATAATGCTTTTTTTCGGTTCAAAGTTTCTGTAGTTTTTTTCATAGATGACACTAGAGGGCACTGTTTGCTCAGTGATCCTACATCTTAGGGAATTGACTAGTTCATTCTGTTGCTGGAAGTTGACTGGTAAAGCAGCTGTTCTATGGTCATCCATGAAACTGCAGAGGGGACTCCTTCAGAGGTCTCCTGACCCTGTAGTGTTTGAGCTGAGAGAGCAGTAGAGAGGCTTATATAAGGAAAACCCTGTTATTTGAGTGTGTACTAGTCCATAGCATTTAATAGTGCTGGGGCAGCTTTCTAGGGGAGCCAGCAGATGCTTAGCTGTGTCACTGTATAGAAAAACCTAGACGTCATAAGTTAGTTCAGTTAGTTAGGGTTTGGGGTATGAGGATGGGACCTATATTAGGCACAATTGAGTTATACCAGTGATGGGGGAGCTTTGGTCAGCTGGAGGAACTTGAGGAAAGTTCAGAGTGCTATCTCTCTGTCTGTTGAATTCTTATCTCTGTAAAGGAAAACTGAAATATCACCTTCTCCACAAATCCTCCTTAAATTCCCTTGTCAGTACACCTCTTTTGGACTACATAATAACATTTTATAACTTTCTGATGAGTTTACTACACAGTGTGGTGTAGTATAGTTGTGTATATGTGCTTATCAGTATGGGATATGCCAATGAGGGCAGGGACTATGTGTCTCAGGCAGATCTGATATCTCTCCTAGAAGCTAGCACAGTATTCTGTATGTAGGATGCATGTAGGACATATTTATTGAATAAATTAAAATGGTGGAGCTAAGGGGTCCCTGGAAAGGTTGTGGCAGCTGCTGCTGGTGGTGTTTCTGCTCTCCTTCTGGGTACTGTAAGGTTATATTTTATTACTTAATATTTAATAACAATAATGATAATAACATTAACCTGTATTTTTACAGTGATTTAAAGTTTACAAGTTATTTTTCCCACCAGAACTTTGTGAGGTGTAGTAAGTACAGGTATTATTATCCCCCTTTTACATGAGATGAATATGAGACTTGGGAGAGTTAAGTGGCTTGTCTCTGATTCATGCCATGGCTAGGAAGGTCTAGAGTTGAGATTTCAACTTGAGTCTGTCTCCTGGCTCCAAGTGTAATTTTCTACCAACTACCTATTTTCAGGGGTGGGGAACCTGTGGCCTGGAGGCCACATATGGCCCTCTAGGTCCTCAAGTA